ATTGGTTCCAAATTGGGCATGCTAGACGCGTTTTTGTTATGCGTACAATTTTCCGGTTTTTTTTTTGACACACTGTATTAGTATCTGCAAAAAAGAGTCAATCTCACACCAATCAGCAACAGCCACTCAGTATGACATCAATACTGAAAAAAGAAAGTGGCAACAGCAAAAAACAATACTGGAATGAAAGGCTGAAGAAGAGGAATTCCCATCCCCTACTCCAATGGCAAAAAGAAGCAACTCACTCCAGCCTTCCCCAGGGAGTGTTATGAAAAGGGCCAAAAAGGACATCAATGTGACTGAAAGTGTGAACACTATGGCCCAGAAAGCTGGAGAGAATACCCCTGGATTACAATCACCTCCCCTGGTTCCAGTGGTAGTTATAGAGCAGTTGGAAGTAAAACCTATCTGTGGAAAGAGGAAGAGCCAGAAGAACCCACCAGCCAAAGAAAAAACCCACAGTTGAAGACTTGGGATGATGGGTCTGGGATGATGAAACAGGAAATACCTTTGTCTGGCATGACAGAGAAATCAGAAAGCTCAGTCCCAAAGAAAAAGGAGAGAACTGGAAAAGAAGACTGGTATGATCCTGCCATCAGAGAAGAAGAACAAACAGGAACACACATTCTTCTGAAAAACATCCTCCTCATATTCCCAGACAATACCCAGAGCAGAACAGACAACAGTGGACAGAGTGGAAGGCCAGATACTCAAGAAAAAGGCCTGAATTTGATTGTGAAAGAATCAGAAAACAACACCACTCACCTCCAGATAGAATAAAACTGGTGCATTCTCCTTGTTTTTGGGTTAAAGGCTTACAGAACTGAAGCCTTTCTTTAAGCTCGTCCCAAATTGATATTGTTACAGTCAAAACTGGATATAATGATACTTTTATTCACAACAAGGTGCTTGCTAAAGCCCAGTTTGAGCTGTTTTTATTTATTTACATATTTTGTAAAAAAAGGGAATAAGACTTTGCTAGTTTCATCTTTTTGTGAGGGCTTAAATAGTTTAATTCAATATCCGATTAAAAATCGGGTGATAGTTAATTTGTACAGTTGTTGTAAAGAATTTGTCTGTGAATATAACTTTTGCCGTAGTAGTAGATAAATTGTGACTACAGTCAACCGCCGTATAATTAACCCCTCATATTTCGGGAATTCGCGGCATATCAAATTCAAATCGTACATGTTAATTCATTGCAGACACGTTGGCAACAATTACGTTTACCAAACATATAAGCTTCATGAGCATTTGAATAATGAATTTTGTTTCTATTTATCAATACCCATATTATTATAATTATATCTTACTATTTGTTAATATATAAATTGTAGGCCATCGGCTGCCCCCAGCTTAATATTATTACGACAAGAGTGTCGTTGGCTGCCCCCTCCCTCTTAATAAACTCTTACTTATCCCCACCCCAGCGGAAAGTTCCCGAGGTAGCCGGATGAAATAA